GATATGGCCACCAGCAGGAAACACTCCGTAGATGCCAAAGGGGCAGGAAATAGCACTAAAATTGCCGTGAGGAGAGATTGTGGCTGCGCAAGGACACTGCTGCTTGCCCCCACCCTGCACACTCACACAGTTAAACACTACAATCGTGTTTTGTCTTGGGAAAACAAGTCATAGAATCATAGAATGGAGTTACAATCGTGTTTTGTCTTGGGAAAACAAGTCATAGAATCATAGAATGGAGTCGTCTCGGTTTGAAGGGACCGTTACGGTCATCAAGTCCAACCATCAACCTAACACTGCCAAAAGTACCACTAAACCATATCCCTAAGCATCACTTCTACTCGCCTTTTAAATACCTCCAGGGATAGTGATTCCACCACTCACCTGGGCAGCTTGTTCCAATGTTTGATAAACCTCTCAGATAAGAATTTTTTTTCCAAATATCCATATTAAACCTTCCCTGGTTTAACCTGAGGATGTTTTATCCTGGAAGATTCTTTATTTAGTTTAAATACACAGAGAGAACCGGTCCTCATTTTCACAGTCTGTGGGTCTCACAAATTTGGACAGGTGTGTAGTTGGAAACACGTCATCTAATGACATTTCATTTTGGACAACATTACACAAAGAACAAATCAAAACAAAACAAAACCCCCCAAACAACCCCCCAAACACCAACAACAAAAACCAATCATCAAGTGGGCTTTGGTTATAGTGAGACACATTATGTGTAATTTGCAGAAGAAGACATGTCATTACTTCTGAAAATCATAGGTCATCAATTTCCAGAGGGCATCCTTGAGCTCCTGGTTCCTCATGCTGTAGATGAGGGGGTTCACTGCTGGAGGCACCACTGAGTACAACACTGCCACCTCCAGATCTAGAACTGGGGAAGAGATGGTGGGGGGCTTCAGGTAGGCAAACATGGCAGTGCTGACAAGCAAGGAGACCACGGCCAGGTGAGGGAGGCACATGGAAAAGGCTTTGTGCCGTCCCTGCTGCGAGGGGATCCTCAGCACAGCCCTGAAGATTTGCACATAGGACAGTACAATAAAAACAGTAGTCTGAGTGTGAGCAGGAGAGCTTGAGGATCTGGGGGATTTCACAGAAGAACTGGTCCAGGGCATTGCCTTGGCAGAGGGGGAGTGAAAATGTATTGGCCGTGTGCAGCACAGCATTGAGGAATCCACTGCCCCAGGCAGCTGCTGCCATGCGGACACAAGCTCTGCTGCCCAGGAGGGTCCCGTAGTGCAGGGGGTGGCAGATGGCAACGTAGCGGTCGTAGGCCATGACTGTGAGAAGAGAAAACTCTGCTGTAGCACAGAAATAGAAAAAAAAAAACTGTGCAGCACATCCTGAGTAGGAAATAGCCCTGGTGTTCCAGAGGGAATTGGCCATGGCTTTGGGGAGTATGGTGGAGATGGACCCCATGTCGAGGAGTGAGAGGTTGAGGAGGAAGAAGTACATGGGGGTGTGGAGGCGATGGTCACAGGCGATGGCGGTGATGATGAGGCCGTTTCCCAGGAGGGCAGCCAGGTAGATGCCCAGGAAGAGCCCGAAGGTCACGAGCTGCAGCTCCCATGTGTCTGCGAATGCCAGGAGGAGGAAGTGGGTGATGGAGCTGCCGTTGGACATTTGTTCACTCTGGGCATGGGGCACTGTTGAAAGAGGAGAAGACACTGACAAGGTACGGCAGACTTCTTTGAGCCCATCCTTTGCCATTTCCCAAAAAATTCCCCAACAATGACTTCTCTTTCTTTGGCATACTTTCAATCGGCTCTTTTTTGTGTGATCAGGTTTGTGCTGCTGAGGCATTTCCTTTGAATGGGCAGAAATCCTCCTCTTTCCCATCGCTTTCAGCCTAAACACTGGAGAGCCCGGAGGGACAAAAGGGCTCTCTGTGCCCTGGTGCAGAGTCAGGAGAGCTGGTCTGCCCGCCATTGACCTGCTGGTCACCACGCAGGTAGCCCTGCTTACACCTCTCTCCATAGGAGAATGGTCTCCTAAAAAGGTACTTGAAGAAAAAAAAAAAAAAAAAAAGGACTACTTTTGGGTGTGAGACAGACCAGTTTGAAAGCCCATTTCTCCACACTGTTTTCTCTCTCCCTGTGCAGCTGAGCAGAGCGGGATGCAGAAGGGTGGAGGGGCTCTCTGCTGCCTGGAGCTGTCCCTGCCAGGAGCTGTGGCTCTGTGCCCAGGTCTCCCCCTGCCAGTGCTCCCAGAGCCCATCCCACCCGCTGCGTGCTCAGCTCTGCCCTGCAGAGCCCTCCCAGCAGCAGGGCACTGCCCAGGGCCAGCTCTCTCTTTGCGGTTCCTCAGGAGCAAAGCACATCCAGCCTGATGCTGCAAGCAAAGGGGATGCTGGTGCTGTCTGTTGGTAGAGGAGTGGGTGAAGGCTCTTGATGAGGTTTGTGGTAGATCTGCTGATCCCTCAGTGTCACAGTGACAGCTCCTTTCCCTTAGGAGAAAGTTGAGAACACAGAGCCTGGAAAGGTCTTCATCTTTAAGGTAGCCCCTGCCTTGACTTTCCTCTTGCAATGCTGCCTCTGCCAATGTTCTCAGGGTGATCAGCAGCTGTGAGCAGCCCTGACACACGCAGCACCCTCTGGAGAGCAGAGGGACACTGCCCTGAAAGGCGTCACTATTCCACCCACAGCTTCTCCCCACAGCA